AATTACGAGACGAATAGAAATGAAAACGGTTTTCCCAGACATACGATTCACTCACAGGAAGGTCAATTCACTGAAGGGGAAAGGACCAGTGAGGTACGTAATTCTGGTAGCAGTTACTCTTGCTTCAAGGCATGTTGACGTTTTATCTACGTGAATTCACAAACCTTGCTCACGTGAGCCGAGAACAATCCGGAAAGAAAGGTGTTTTATCAGACAAGTTTGAACACCTCAGAACTGACACACTGTTGGATTTCATTAGCATAGCTTCACCTGATTTACATAAAGTGAAATGTAAATGAGTTATATATATTTTTAAAGTTTAATATCGGATCTTTAGTGCAGCATCTGTAACACAGCAGTCTGTGTTTGGTGGAGAGTTATTTTGAGCGTGGTCAGCTTGTGGTGGAGAAAAAGCACACACACACACACAATGGGGATGTTTAGTTTGTTATCAGTAAGAGCTCTGTCAGTAACAAGCACAAGGTTTCCCAGAGCAATCATCAGTTCTCGGGAAAGCTTGTGGTATTTTTAGGTTTTCAGGTTTAATACCCAAAATAGCAGCTCTGAAAAGACAGATGAGCGCTGCTGAGCTTCACACATCATCATCAGTCTGCCACCTCACACGTGAAGCTGAAAATTATATTCAGTGCATGCTCTAACAAGAACTTCAGAGAACCAGGAGTGCTCTTTTAAAGACGTCCTTCTCCCCTTTCCGCTAACGCACATCACATCACATCACATCCTAAATTTCTCTCTCTTTTTATTTGACTTTTTATTTCTGAAGAGATTGTGATACAAAGCCAAGAAATGTGTCCATGTGTGGATTTAGTTCCAGCGAAGGGGAGAAAAAGGTCAGTCTGTGAGTCTGAACAAGCCGAATGTAGCGTACAGGTCAGAGACGTGACGCAGGCCGAGAACAAACAACCAAAGGTTTATTTAGAGAGAAACCGAGAAGCCACTGAAACCATCCGTGTCCCAAAAGGCTCTGAACACCTCGCTAAAGCTCATGAACACATTCGTTTGAGTGTTTCTGCAAAGTTCATACAGTTCAGATGAGTCTGCTTGTGCTATGAGCAGTGACATGGTGTGACCCGAGTGAACAGAGTGTATTCTGTAGCTGATAGTATGTATTACATCAGACCACAGTGCTGTTGAATTCTGGATTCTGTTTGGTCAGAAGGTGTTGATTGATATTCTATAAGAGCAGCTTGTTCTAATATGTTTTGGTTTCTATAGTAACAGCTCATTCACAGGCACCTGTATGTCCACATAATATGAATTTAAAAAACTCAAACCGTACGTGTATAATCACTGATTGGGACGTTTTTTGTAACATGTATGGAAGGAGTCTCCAGCGTCAGTGCTGTAACAGTCAGAGTTAAAGCTGGATTTAAAAAAATACTTTTATGAAATTAAGAAACCTTAACTATCTGATGAACTTTTAAATAACTCTTCTTTTTTTTTTTTTTAAATAAGTAAATCCGTGGTACAGTATAAACCTCAAATTATCGCTCGTTATTTTCTTCTTAGTGCTTAGAAACTGTCAGAGGTTTAACATTTAGCTCGTTGGTACAATGTCGGGTTCTTAAAGGGTTCTCTGGATACAGTCATGGATGAAATTATTGGCACCCCTGGAACATTTCCAGAAAATGCACCATTTCTCCCAGAAAAGTGTTGTAATGACAAATGTTTTGGTATACACATGTTTATTACCTTTAAGTGCATTGGAACAGCACAAAAAAGCAGAAGGAAAAAGGCAAATTTGACATAATTTTACACAAAACTCAAAAATTAGGTCAGACAAAATTGTTGGCACCCTCAACATAATATTTGGTTGCACACCCTTTGGAGAAAATAACTGAAACCAATCGCTTCCTATAACCATCAACAAGCTTCCTACACCTCTCAACTGGAATTTTGGACCACTCTTCTTTTGAAAACTGCTCCAGGTCTCTCAGATTTGAAGGGTGCCTTCTCGCAACAGCAATTTTAAGATCTCTCCATAGGTGTTCTATGGGATTTAGATCCGGACTCATTGATGGCCACTTCAGAATTCTCCAGCGCTTTGTCGTAAGCACTATACCACTCACAGGGATATTTTCTGGAAGAAATGGTGCATTTTCTGGAAAAGTTACAGGGGTGCCAATAATTTTGTCCATGACTGTAATTAAGAGTTTGTGGGCTCCTGAAAGAGTTCTACATGGATCCCTTGTGGACACAGCCCTTGCTGTAGGGTTCTACAAGGTGATGTGACAACTGAATTCATGATGGTTTGTTTCATTCGGATACTTTTCTAAAATTAAGTAAACCCTTGAAGAACCCTTAAAGACTGCTCCAAGCACCAACACCGCTAAAATGTTTAAAGAATGACAGATTCTAGGTCTTAAGAGGTAAATAATTACCATTCAGTTTTACTTTGTACCGTACACCAACCTGTTTAATACATACACTATTAGAAGAGGTTCTTCAGGGCTTCTTTATGACCATTCAGGGGATTGTCATGCAAAAAGAACACGTATGTTTTTTGCATGTTATTATTATCATATTAGATTGTTCCACTTCTACTTTATTTTGACGCTCTTATTAAAACATGAATGTCTCATGCAGGGTTCTGGGCAATGTTTGAGTCAACAGCTGTTTGATTACGCCTTATTGCCAGCATCACATTTTAGAGAAAGCCCAAAGGAAGCACGGATGACTAATGCAGCCACCCAAAATATAAGACATTGACGAGGATGACCTAAAAAAACCTGTGACGGTTCTCTCTGCAGCGATTTCATGCAGCTCGTCAGATACATTCCGTGTTTATTTTAGAAAAGTGATATTATATCCAGAAGAGCATCCTGAAGCCAAAAGTTCTTCCCCTCTGTTAGTCATTTCATTGTGCAGAACGTTTGCCACAATGAAATGCGTGTTTATCCTCGTTCTCATTCCCCTTGCAGCTTATATAACCAATACTGCAAGCAGAAAAAGCATAGCTTTAATCTTCGGTTTGGAGATTACTACGGAAACCAAGAAGATGGCAAGACGACCTCGTCGTTTAAAGACGTAACGTGCAAGCGTGAGGTTCTTAACGCTTAGGTGACATTAGGAGGGAATAGTTTAAACGTTCTGTCACAATCAAAAATACTGTTAATGCTGCTTTGCAAACTGGACCTAAGTTCATCCATCTTGAGTAAACGATTTCTTCTGGTCAAGGCAGTGGATCCGGAACACGTCTAGAAACATACACACATATTCACCCCTGGGGTAATTTAGCATAGCTGATCCAAGCTCTGGGATGTTGGGAGGTTGGGGGAAATCTGAGAACCCTGAGGAAGCCCACACAGACACGGGGAGAACATGTGAAACTCAACACAGGCGATAAGCTTCGATACACTGCAGGTAACTGTGTCAGAAAGCTTCAGGTTCACAAACATTGGAATCAGATGCATCTTGGGAATTGTTGTGGAAATGTTTGGGACGGCATTTTTTAAATGTATTTTTTATCTGTACTGTACATGCCACGTTTCCTCTTAAGCAGCGAGATTTAGCTCCATTCAGCTTTGTGAGCAATGGGATGAAGTGGAAAAAACCGGAAGCAGATTTGGTGTAAAACATACTGTCTTGAATCCTGGAGGAAGTGAAAGAATGAAATCAGTATGTGATCTCATCCCCCCCATGTTTACATGGTTTTTCCCAAGCGTTAAATCCCTGACAGTAATCCTTATACGAAATATTATTAGTGTGATATTTGAAAATGAATGAAAGCACAACATTGCTCATAGTGCAAACATAGACGAGTAATCTGTAAGATGGAAGACAGTATGATGTCAAACAAACAACGTTTATGTTTATGCTACAATGACAACTATTATTTTCTGTAATTACTTTCAAATCTTAAAAGCACATGTTCCCATGGGAAAGTGTTGTGGACATCCAACACCCAAGTGAGTGGTAAAGCTGGCCTTGTGTTTATGAATAGAGAGGGCACTCGAGAGAACAGAGCCACTATAGATTCTTTTTTTTTAATGCAATATGTGCTGACCTCTAGTGGACAAAATTTTCTCTCTCCCTCTCCCCCCTCTCTCTCTCTCTCTCTCTCTCTCTCTCTCACACACACACACACACACACACACACACACACACACACACACACACAGACACACATACATAGACGTGACAAATTAAAGGGGAAAAACAAAGTGTGCTGATTGTTACAAAGCTGACACTTGAGACTCCTTCCTTAAACATTAAATAAACACGTCACCATAATCAACAATCAGGAGTGCAAAACTGTACTTCGTTACTATACTTCCAGATGCACTACTGTCAGAGCTGCTCTTATAGAAAACTAATGAACACCTGACCAATCACAATCCAGAATCCAACAGCGTTGACCCAGATAAGGCTGATTATCTCCAGGTTCATAAATGTTTGTGTTCTCCTCACACTCCACCCTGAAGCTCTTGTAACTAAGTGTTCAGCTGCATCAGGCTCATAGACGGTAGAGTTTATGTCTCCTCCCTGCTGTCATCCGTGACGTCTTCAGGGGGTTACAGGTCGTTTCGAGGTTTTTTTCCTCTCAAGATGCGATTGGTGATACGAACCCAGAGACAAACAAAACCACGGTTATATTAACAGATAGCAGGACGTGCACATTCTCTCCTCTGAAACACAGGCATGCCACAGATGTAAATAGTTTATACACAGCATGAATTGATTCTTCAGATACACAACATAATCAGCGTTACGCTCATTTTCCCATCAAAGCTGATGTGTTTGATTTCGCAGGTCAGGCTCTTGACACTGATGTGTCGTCTTTGTGATGAAGGTACAGATACTGTCAGTGTGACTGCATGGAAGAATGGAGGACAGCGCTTCAAGACGTGCTTCACCGGCAACGTTCTGAAAAAAAAAACATCATATAATATCGTTTATGTGATTTCTTTTTAAAAAATGCATTTGGCTATAAATTTAATCAATCAATAGCTTAATCAATCGTTAAGAAAAAAAAGTTGGTCAGTGGTGACTCAGTGGTTAAGACATTGGGCTTCTGATCAGAAGGTCATGAGGTCAAACCCCATCACTGCCAAGCTGCCACTGCTGGGCCCTTAACAAAGCCCTTATCCCTCAACTGCTCAGATGTATAATCGAGATCAGTGTAAGTCTCTCTGGATAAGGGCATCTGCCAAATGCCATAAATGTAAATGTAAGAACAACTGAATATTTTGTAATGCAAATGAAGACCACACAAACTTTTTTTTTTTTTTAATGTATCTCAGTAGGAGACTGTCCAGGATGTACCCTGCCTTGTACCCGATGCTCCCTGGGATAGGCTCCAGGTTCCCCGTGACCCTGAACAGGAGAAAGCAGTAGAAGATGGATGGATGGATGGATGGATGGAAGTATCTCATTAGCATTGTTTACTTGTTTACATGCTCGATTCAGATTGATCAGATATTATTAGTTGATTTTCCAATTACCTTGACAGGAGTTCAGGTTGTAATCCAAATCGCAGGTTTGTATTAAGCACACGTGGCACCAACACCACAACCCCCTGTCTATAGAGCCCGAGTGTAGGCCAGGATATTCAGTGTCTGTAATAACAGCTCATTCACAGGGATGTTTTTAATCACAGGGATTAAAAAATAATTGGTGTTGATATGGAGAAGTTTTCTTTAAGGCGGTGTTTATTTAATATTTATGGAAGAGGTCAGCGATTAGAAACAGTAAATCTGTAGTTATGAATGGATTAAACATTCAAATGCAACCTGTTGATTGCTGCTTCATTTCTTAAAAAAACAGCACATTACAGAGTATGTATGTATATTTTTAGATTTGCTCATCGATGTTACCTTGCTGTGTGTCACCTCAGCTTTCTGTACTGATCTCTAATACAAAAGGTTTTTTAACTGTGAGGCCGTGGTTTTCCTGTTAGCTTGTGTGAGAAAGCTCTCACTCTCATCTGTGGTTTCACTCTGTATGAGAAATGGTACAATCTGGCCTCCTAATTTTCTGTTTCTGAAGGTTTGTATTAATTTATGAAGCATTCATACATGTTTATATGTATATTAAATGTAGTTTTATTTCAGCTACGCATGGAGACACTGTGGGGTTTTCAGGTGGACCGTTTTGGGTTTTTCTTCTGATCGAAAATGATCTTTTTCCAGATATTAAGACCAGAATCTCGGTGCTTTAGCTTCATCCAGTGAGTGTGAAATGGGGTTGCTCACCCTTCTCCTATTCCTCCATCTGATTCAAGATGTTCACCTGCAATGTGAGTCTTGTTTTTTTTTATCTTTATTTTAAAGTAGATATTCTGAAAGTTATTTCTTATACGGATATATTGGATAGTGTTTGCATGATATTAACTTTAAGAGTGAGAGAGAGCTTAAAGTGATGCTTGCTCGACCATTTAACAATGAAGTGGTGCTTGCGAAATATGATGTTTATAGGAAGCTTGCAAAACATGAGCCATTATGTATTCTTAATAAAGGCAAAACCGAAATTTCATGCAAATCACCCCCCCCAAAAAAAAAAAAAAAAAAAAAAAAAAATTTTTTTTTTTTTTTTTTTTTTTTTTTTTTTTTTAAAAAAAAAAAAGCCCCCCTTTTAACTTCTACAGTAAAATAATGAAGAGATTCTTTATTCTGCTGTTGTGTCAGACGGGTGCAAAGTGACTCATAAACTTTAAAATTGTATAATATTTTTTATTATATATTATATATATTTTTATTCAGCTTCAGGTAACTTTAATACAAAGCCTTGGTCTTATTACGCACACGAACCAGCTCATATTGCAAAATAGTCCATCAGTAAAAATGCTGCACTCTGAACCACAGAATAAATATATAATTAGGAATAACGAGTATGCTTTAAAAGATCCTGTGTACATTTCCCCCAGTTTTATGACATGTACTAACACTAAAGAGAAACTTCTGTTCAATTCATTTGAGTCATTTGGCAGCTAAGACATTTTATTAATGTGAAGGTGTTTTCATGATGCAGCTTTAGCAATGACATTTACTCTTTGATTTCTTAATTCCAGTTATGTTCAGTGTGTGTATTAAGTGGACTGTGTGATCTGTGTGTGTGGTTGTAGATGTTCCTCAGCCCCGGCTGTCCGTGTCTCCTGAAGTTCTCACAGAGAGAGGATCAGTGCAGATTCACTGTCATGTTCCAAACAATGTTAAAGTGTCTCAGTGTTATTTCTACCCAGAGAGAGACCACACAAATCTAAAACTCTCTCCATCATGTCAGCTCTCAGTCACTGGTTCTGAACTGATCAGGTGGACAGGACGAAGTTCTCCTAGAACACTTCATATTATTTGTTACTACGTTGTGGATAACTTTGTTCGTACTCCTTCTCCTCACTCTCTCCCAGCTCCAGTCACAGTGCTGAGTAAGCTCTACATTACAATTTATGTCTTTTATTGTCAGCTTTAATCATGTTTCTAATTCACACTTGAATTTATTACCACAACATGAATGTCTGTAACAGTTAATACCTCTTTTCTATACATCCATTATAGTGTTATATATTTATTTATATATTTTATTTATTCCTCTGCAGATCAGAAACCGAGACTAAGCGTCAGTCATGATCATGTATTCAGATTTGTGTGTGAAATATCAGGGTCAGAGTCAGTAACTGCTGATTTTAGCTGTAATCTATACACTGGAGAAAATCCTCAGCTTTTTCTAAACCAAAGATCTCAAAAGGGAAAATCTGTGAAGGTTTGTATTTTTACAGCACAGAGAGACGCTGTGTTTAATCGTCTGCAGTCAGTAAAGAGTCGTGAAGTGAGCTGTGATTATTCACTGATCTCTGACCCGACTGCTCGCTCTCTAATGAGTGATAAATACAACATGATACGTAAGTTATAAAAAATCCAATTACTTACATTTGTTTTTAAAAACTTTTTCTACCTGTGAATTGTGTTTGAATTTATTTACGTCTTTTTCATCAGGTTTCTTTCCTACACCAACACAGCCGTCCATCATTACTGAGAAATCCACTGCATGTGAGTTCATTTTATTTTATTTTCTGCTGTTTAGTTCTGTTAAATTTTTTATGACTGAACTTTAATCTGCATTATGTTACACATGTCATATATGTTTATTTTATTTGACATATTCCTTTGTTTCTTCTTCTTGTAAAGTATTTATTTATTTATTTATTTATTTTTTTACAATAGACAACAATTAGACAATTTTTACATTCACACAGCTTCTTACAGATATTATAATAAACATTATTGGTATAGACAAGCATGCGATTCAACAAACAAAATACATGTTTGTTATGTGATGATTTTCTGGATATGACTCTGAGCTTTGTAATATACTACTTGTGCATTTACACGTATAGAAAGAACTAGATCAGGGCTCTGTTTGAACGTAGGATATTAGTTATTGGTTTGATGGGTGTGTTTGTGTGGTTGTAGATGTTCCTCAGCCCCGGCTGTCCGTGTCTCCTGAAGTTCTCACAGAGAGAGGATCAGTGCAGATTCACTGTCATGTTCCAGACAATGTTAAAGTGTCTCAGTGTTATTTCTACCCAGAGAGAAACAAGAGAAATCTAAAACTCTCTCCATCATGTCAGCTCTCAGTCACTGGTTCTGAACTGATTAGGTGGACAGGACGAAGTTCTCCTGAAACACTTCATATTATTTGTTACTACACTGTGGATAACTCTGTTCATACTCCTTCTCCTCACTCTCTCCCAGCTCCAGTCACAGTGCGATGTAAGCTCTACATTACATCTTATGTCTTTTACTGTCTGCTTTAATCATGTTTCTAATTCACACTTGAATTTATTACCACAGCATGAATGTCTGTAACAGTTAATACCACTTTTCTATACATCCATTATAGTGTTATATATTTATTTATATCTCTTATTTATTCCTCTGCAGATCAGAAACCGACATTAAGCGTCAGTCATGATCATGTATTCAGATTTATGTGTGAAATATCAGGGTCAGAGTCAGTAACTGCTGATTTTAGCTGTAATCTCTACACTGGAGAAAATCATCAGCTTTTCCTAAACCAAAGATCTCTAAAGGGAAAATCTGGGAAGGTTTGTATTTTTACAGCACAGAGAGACGCTGTGTTTAATCGTCTGCAGTCAGTAAAGAGTCGTGAAGTGAGCTGTGATTATTCACTGATCTCTGACCCGACTGCTCGCTCTCTAATGAGTGATAAATACAACATGATACGTAAGTTATAAAAAATCCAATTACTTACATTTGTTTTTAAAAACTTTTTCTATCTGTGAATTGTGTTTGAATTTATTTACATGTGTTTTTCATCAGGTTTCTTTCCTACACCAACACAGCCGTCCATCATTACTGAGAAATCCACTGCATGTGAGTTCATTTTATTTTGTTTTCTCCTGGTTAGTTCTGTTACATTTTTATGACTGAACTTTAATCTGCATTATGTTACACATGTCAGATATGTTTATTTTATTTGACATATTCCTTTGTTTCTTCTTCTTGTAAAGAAGTTATTTATTTATTTATTTATTTTTTTGCAATAGACAACAATTAGACAATTTTTACGTTCACACAGCTTCTTACAGATATTATAATAAACATTATTGGTATAGACAAGCATGCAATTCAACAAACACAATACATGTTTGTTATGTGATGATTTTCTGGATATGACTCTGAGCTTTGTAATATACTACTTGTGCATTTACACGTATAGAAAGAACTAGATCAGGGCTCTGTTTGACACGTAGGATATTAGTTATTGGTTTGATAGGTGTGTGTGTGTGTGTGTGGTTGTAGATGTTCCTCAGCCCCGGCTGTCCGTGTCTCCTGAAGTTCTCACAGAGAGAGGATCAGTGCAGATTCACTGTCATGTTCCAGACAATGTTAAAGTGCATCAGTGTTTTTTCTACCCAGAGAGAAACAAGAGAAATCTAAAACTCTCTCGATCATGTCAGCTCTCAGTCACTGGTTCTGAACTGATCAGGTGGACAGGACGAAGTTCTCCTGGAACACTTCATATTATTTGTTACTACGTTGTGGATTACTCTGTTCGTATTCCTTCTCCTCACTCTCTCCCAGCTCCAGTCAC